AGTCAATTGATTGATTGATTGATTGACTGTGACTGACTGACTGACTGATTGTGTTCCTATTCCATCTTTCTCCCATGAAGTGACTTAAGGAAGAGTTGCTGAAAAACTAATAATCAGCTAGAATTTTATTGGTATTCATGTAATAGTGGCACCACAGCTAATTGCAGTTAATTGATGGGGCATATCTTGGTTGCACCCACAGGCATGTGACCAGACATTCAACTGAGAAATACCCTAGCATCTTATACATTAGCTGCCATTAGTTGTGGCAAATTGCACGAATCTTATGCAAACAACAGAAGGATTATGTGGAGACTACCCAATGCATTTTGACCCATGCTGTTTCTTGAGAACGAGTCTTTTTGTGTCTCACTCTGGTAAACCAGCCAAAAGAATTCATTCAAAGATATACAGTACCTCAAATAGTGTAGCTTCAAAAACTGGCTTGCAGCCTCCCTTTGCTTTTGTGTTGTGTTGTGTGTGCATATGTTTGTCAGAAGGGCTCTTTGGCATTTGCTTTCACTTTCCTCCTGCTTTTCAGATTTCTGCACACATCCTCATCTCTTGTTTAGTCTGAAGGCTTTAAATGGATTGCCACAAAATTCTCTTACTCTCAAATTAATTTTTTCTTCTTCTGTTTTGTATGTTACTTGTTCGACCAATTTTAGTATCCCTGTTCCCCAACACAACTTTGTTTTATAGTTCATGTTTTTTAGTCACCATATGCCTTCTACAATAAGATAAAATATAGTCTTTATTTAAAGTGGCATTCCTTAACATGGGGACTACAGGTCCTATCATGCTCAGCCAGCATGTCCGTTACATAAGGATGCTGGACGTCATGATGGGCCATGGAGGGAAGCTGCAGTAACACTTGAAGGGTACAAGGTTGTGGAAGACTGTTAAAAACAAACAAGAACATTTAGTTCAGAGAGTATTATTTCCATTCAATCTATTCGTGTTTCACAGTAGTTTGTTTGGTAATAAGAAAAATAGCCTGGGACTCATCAAAAATTAAGTAATTGCAGTTGACCCAAGTCCCACAAGGTTCCAAAGCACAACTAGGAGAGACACATGAGCAAAGACCGCACATTTCCCATCAGTGTTGAAGAAACCTTGGTGGATTTATCTCCGTCCTGGGATACACCTGATTAAATGAACAGATCCTTTCTAATCAGCTTCAGCAAGTCAAGCAATAAACTTCCACAGCCCATGGTAAAAAAAGAGAAAGAAAGTGAAATGGTTTTAAAAAACAA